AATTTTTAAATTCGAGAAAATGGTAAAAATGGTATTTGATTTTTTTTTTTTTGGTAATCCACTAGGCAATGCCTAGTGCTAGTTTTTATTTATATAGAAAATTAAGAAAAACAATGTCATGATAGTATCCTAGACAATGAAAGAAATAATAATTGAAAACTACATATGACCTATTATCAAGGTTGAGAGATACACTCAACCATGATAGCACATGAAATCTATTATTTGAATGTCTACTAACTAGCCGACTAAGCTCATATTTGCACGAATAGCCATTGTAATTGCCTTTGAAATGATGTTGCCTTTGTTTTACCATTGACCTGAAGTTTGTATACCCATGTTTGATCCCAGAATTTTTGCATTCCTCTCCATTATTTGTACCATGAGATCTCCAGATATATGTGTCTGCTTCAGTCATTGCCCAGCTCCATGTTACAATGTTGATCATGCCTTTTGTCCCAGTCTTTTCACGTGAAATCCTTGAGTGATGTTGTTTTCTGACTTTCCTATTGTGCTCCTTGTATATCTTACTAGCTGTGTGTAGTAGTTTCCTCCGCTTGAACTTGATTACAGCTCCCAAAATATCAAAAATTTGCTGCCTTACCCATGAGCTACCCAGTGCACACTCATTAGGATTACATTTTCTAGCTGCCTCCATATTCTCTATCTGCTTCCATTGATTCCTCTGTTGTATACCTTTTTCCTGACTCCCTGTATGTGTAGATAGATTCAAATTGTAACCTGAAAACCTCCATCTATGGCCCTGGTCTACAGCAATGTGAGCACTGTGAACATATGTGAGACTGTCACTTTTGACAGTAATGTCGTGTGTTGTTCCTTTGTATGTTGCTGATGCACTTGCCTAGTTTGATACCTCATGTGCTAGATTATGAAACAGCACTGAGGATTTGTACATATTTGCCTCTAGTATTCCCAGAATTAAGTGCCAAATCAAGTATTTGATAATGACAGCATCTATGGATTTCCAGTAATGCTTCCTCATGCTTGTGCATGTCACCTTTCCTTCTTCTAGGGAATGAGTACATAGTACTAATACCACCTATAGAAGTCGTAATAAGTGACAAGGCATGAGTACAATATCGATTCCTGCAAAAAAGAACACTAGGTTAGTAAAAAGATTGATCAACATCATCTCCTCCCTAAGGATTTGAAGATATTGATCCTGCATTATTTCCAGCTGCATCACTGTCACGACCCCAAACCCGGTCGTGATGGCGCCCAACACTAATGCTAGGCAAGCCCGACCATTTACTCCCTCAACCCGAGCACAAAGCTCAAAACCAATTAATCAGATACTTAAAATCAAATATTAATACTCATAGTTGAAATACTCAATTAATACAATACGAAATACTGACATAAACTATAACTCCCAAAGACCTGGGGTCATGAGTCTACAGCCTCTAACCAATACAGAGTCAAGAATCCTCAAAATAAGTATGTTCTAAAGTACGGAATCAATAAAGGGATAAGGGAGGAGTCGGGTCCTGCGGACGTCATAGCAGCTACCTCGACCACTCCTAGAACTCTGGAAACTAGCGGCTAGCTCAACTCAGCTCCCGAAGTACCTGAATCTGCACACAAGGTGCAGGGAGTAGGGGGTGAGTACTACCAACTCAGTGAGTAATAAGCATATAAAATGTCTGAAGATAAGAAATCCACGAAATGCCACAAAGTAAAGCTAAAACTAACAGTCCAACACTTAACTACGAACCAATAGCAGAACAACTTCAAATATATTAGTCAAGTATAATGTAAGGATGCAATGCAATGCACATGACCGCTACGGCGCGTAGCTCGATCCATTTAATGTCGACGACGCTCACTGGGGTGTGTACAGACTCCGGAGGGGCTCCTTCAGCCCAAGCGCAATATAATCATACCATTCGCTGCGGCGTGCAGCCCGATCCGTACTCAGTCCATAATATGCATATGAGTCACGTAACAGATTCAATTAATTTCCCAATTTCCAATTTATTAAGAAGAATATACTTTAGATATTTAACTTCAGGAAAAGTGACTTAGCATTTCATAACAGTGATTAAACACAGGACTGAGATCAATGATTATACAAAGCATGCTATCACAATGACATTCATCCTCTAAGGATGCTACAGATCGGCACAAGGCCCCAAACACGGCAATAAGCCCAGATATATTCAATACAGGGTGCGTATCAGTCGCCAATATAGAAACATTCTTGTTCGGGATGGACTAAGTCTCAACCCCCAGTCATAACTAATCCCGCACCTGCCATGGGGTGCGAGTCACGCCCTACAATAGCGTCACAATGTGATAAGCCGGGGTTTCAAACCCTCAGGCCATCATATACACCAACTACTCACCTCTAACCGGCCGTAGACTGGTCCGCAATGCCTTTTCCCTTTGTATCGACCTCCTCGCGCGTCGAATCTAGTCAAAATCACAGTGAATACATAAATATGGGTTAAAGAAACATGACCCAATAAAAAATACTCGAAAAGTATAAAAATTCACGAAGTTGGTAAAACCCGAGCCCCGGGCCCACTTCTTGACAAATCCCGAAAATCACACCAACGGATTCCTCGTCTCGCCACGAGTCCGTGCATATAATGTTTACCAAAATCGGAGCTCAAATGGACTTTCAAATCCTAAAAATTCGTTTTCAAAAACCAAGCCCTAGTTCTTCACAATTTCTACCCACTTTCATGAATTTGAGTGTTGATTCTTCCATAAAATGGTATTTTCTAGTCAAGAGACTTACCTCAAATCAATACCCGTTGAAAACCCTCTTCAAATTGCTCAAAAAAGCTCTCTTGGCGGAGTAAAAATGTTTTCTTATCTTCTGAAATTCGCGAACACTGATTCATTAAAACCCTTCAGCAATTTTCGTTTCTGCGGTCCCGTAACCGCTTATGCGGGACCACTTCTGCGGCCATATGACCGCTTATGCGGTTTTTCATTAAATCCTTGGCCTTCCGCTTTTGCGCCAGCCATCCGCTTCTGCGGATCTCACCATTCCGATTCTGCGGCCTCGTTTTCGCCTATGCGGACACGCTGAAGCGATACCCCGTCTGCTTTTGCGGAATTACCCCGGTCCCTCATGGACCGCTTATGCGATCTCTTAGCCGCATCTGTTGAACCGCTTCTGCGGCTCCTTTTCTGCAGATGCGGAAATACCAGAAGCCAGGTGCACCAGACCTGCAACAAACATCAAGATTCTCCGTTTAACCACCCGAAATCACTCTGAGGCCCCCGGGACCTCAACCAATAGCACCAACACACCCCAAGACCTTATTCAAACTTGTTCCAATCATCAAAACACTATCGTTAACATCAAAATCATCGAATTACCACAGATTCAATCCTAAGTTAAACTAAAACTTCCGAAACTTGCATTTGATCTAAAACCCGACCTAAACACCTCCGAATGATCTGAAACTTTGCACGCATATCCAAAATAACCTAATGGAGCTACTGCAACTCTCGGAATTCCATTCCGACCCTCGGATCAATATCTCACCTACCATCCGGAATTCACCAAAATCCAACCTTAGCCAATTCAAGCCTAATTCCACATCGGAACTCCAAATTCAATTCCGATTGCGCTCCTAAGTCACAAATCATCCCCCGAAACTAGTCGAATCATCAGAATTCCATTTCGAGCCTTCTAACTCATAAGTCAACATTCGGTTGACTTTTCCAAACTAACCTTCCCATAAAGAGACTTATTGTCTCATTTCTAACCGAACTCTAACCGAATTACTTCAAATTCTCCAAACACATATAATGAAACATATAGAAGCATAAAACGGGGAAAACGGGGCGGTAACTCCCGTAACGACGGGTCGGGTCGTTACAATCACCAACCTTTCTGCCCTTTTCTTCTCCTCCCATCCTACTGCCTCAACACCTTTACTCTTAGGAATGGACATTATAATTTGTCACCATTAACTAGACTCCTACCTTATATATCAAGATGATGGAAAGAGTGGCATTCTATGAACCCTTGATCAAGAGCATAATTTGCCAAATGATCCGCTAATTTGTTTCCCTCTCTATATATATGTGATATTCTGCCATTGCATCTCATAAACATCTGTCTTATCTCTTTCACTTCCTCCTCCACAACCCAAGGTGGTTTCCACTCCCCTACAATCACATTCTTGAGCATCATAGAATCAGTTTGTAGCCATATATTAGACATCGCATTAGCAATACAATGCTTCAGTGCCTCCAATATTGCCATAGCTTCTACTTGTGTGTTTGTCCCTTCTTGAATTTCTTTTCCACATGCATAGATCAGATCCCCTTCCTCATTCCTCAAGCACAAACCTGTTGAAATCCTACTTGGATTACCCCTCGAGGCCCCATCAATATTAATTTTTATCCAGCCTGGCATAGGGAATTCCCACAAAACCTTGTTTATCTTCAGTTTGGGTGTGTAGCTCTCCATCATTCTAAGTATATCAGGCCACCTGTATGGTACTCGAACAATTCCTGACTTCCTTACCTTAATAAGAGACTGTATAGTTGTGCAGACTTGAAACACCACTCGATTGGTTGACACTGCCTCACCATGCTTGTTATTGTTTCTCCTTTTCCATAACTCCCACACGATTATACAAGGCAATGCTTGAAATATAGGTTTGAGTCTAGGAATCACTTTAACTGACCAGCATTTCACAATGGCTTGATGTAGACTTAGCCCTTCCAAAGACATTCCAGCATGTGAAAAGAAATAATACTAGACTTTTGAAGCTGTGAATGATCTATAAAAAACATGGCTCAATGTTTCTTCCTTTGGCATAACACAACACCAATATTTTGATGGCATAAAGTATCCCATTCTTCTTAGTATATCATCAGGTGGAAGTTTACCTTTCCGCAACTTCCACATAAAAAAAAGGATATCTTGAAAGGCAGACCTTTAATCCACATATTGGAAAATGTAATAGCTGGATCTTTCCTCCTCCTTAAATATTCCCAGGCTGACTTTACTATGATTGGCATGTTGTTCCCAAACACCAAATAGGCTTGTCCAGTTCATCATACATTGAAGGAGCTGGTATGCTATCCAAAATGTGTAGAGCTAGGTCTTCTGGTAGGATTTCTCTAATTTTATCCTCTTCCCACTGTCCTTCCACAACCACATCATTCACATTCTGAATTGTTTCATCGACTAAAAACTCCGGGGGTGTTACAAAGTAAAGGGCTCCCAGTCTTGTCCAATTATCAAACCAAAAAAGGGAAGATCCCATTTTTAGCTTCCAGTAAATCTGATGCTCTACTAGATCCCTACATTCCAACATCTTCCTCCAAACGTGTGATCCACCCCTCCAAGGTACAACAATTGCATTCATCTTTTTGCAATATTTTTGGCACATAAAAGAGATCCACATTGATGGCTTGGTCCTGAAGTTCCACCATAATTTGCAGAAAAGAGCCTTGGACATGTCATGTAATGATCGAAATCCCACTCCTCCTTCATCTTTAGGTAAACATAAAGTATCCCATGATGCCTATAGCTCTCCCATCAACAGAATTGCTCCAGTAGAATCTTGCAAATAGCTTATGTAGCTTGTTGATCACATAGGCAGGTGGATTCACTGCAGAAAGCAGGTGAATAGGCATGCTTTGAAGAACACAGCTGATCAGTACTTCTCTTCCTCCAATTGATAATAGCTTCCCTTTCCAAGCTTGAATTTTATCCAGCACTTTTGAAATCAAACCTTCATAAAAATCCATTTTCTCCTTGTGTAGAATATAGGGCAACCAAGGTATATGAATGGAAACTCCTGTCTCCCTATTCCAGTTATTCCTTCAATCTTCCTCACAACTTCATCACTTGTAGAATGGTGGACATATACTGCAGATTTGGACTTATTAATCAGTTGTCCAGATGCTGCTTCATAAGCATTTAGAACCTCCATAATCAAACTCAAAGAAGTGGCATCTGAGGATGAGAATATAAATGCATCATCTGCATATGCAAGATGGTTGATCTTAGGGCTCCACTTAGGCAATCCAAAACCACAAAATTATAGATTCTGATGCAAAGCATTTAGTCCCCATGACATTGCCTCTGCCGCTAGTATAAACAATGTAGGTGACAAAGGGTCACCTTGCTTCACCCCTCTAGTTGATTTAAAGAAACCATGTAGTTGCCCATTAACAAGAACTGAGTATCAATTGTTAGATACAATCCCAAATATCAAACCAATGAACCTTTCAGAGAATCCCATCTTCCTCAAAACCTTTGTGAGAAACAGCCAAGATAATCTATCATAAGCCTTCATCATGTCCAACTTAAGAACTACATTAGGGCCTGCCTTTGTTCTTAATCTAATATCAGTGATTATTTCTTGAGTGAGCAACACATTCTTAACCATACTTCTGCCTTTTACAAAACCTGGTTGTTCATCAGAAATAACCATAGGAAGAATATCTACTAACCTCTCATGAATGACCCTCGAGATGATTTTATTTGTGAAATTGCTCAAACTAATTGGCCTTAGATCAGAAAAGGTCTGAACATTTTTCTTCTTAGGTAATAGAACTAAATTTGTGTGAGTCACAAATTTAGGAGCTCTTGTCCACAGAAGAAAGCCTTCACCATTTCATGAATGTCTTCCCCAATGATTTCCCAACAAGCATGGAAAAAATTCCCATTGAAGCCATCAGGCCCACCTGCACTGTCCCCATTCAAACAAAACACTGCCTTCTTTACTTCCTCTATTGTTGGCAACCTCGTTAGCTCACAGTTCTGCATATAATTCAGCATTAAGGGAACAAGTTCCAGTATCCTAACATCAGTAGGCACACTGGATTCATGAAACTACTGCTGGAAAAAATGTACAGCTTCTTCTGCCATGTCTGCTGGATTTTCTAACCAATTGCCATGTCTATCTTGTATTCTTTTCAGCTGTAGTTTTCTTCTTTTGCCATTCACATGATCATGAAACATTTTGGTATTTCTATCTTCATCTTTAAACCAAGCCATTCTTGATTTTTGTTTCCAAAATTCTTCCTCCAATGCCCACACTCGATTCAGATCAGCCTGCACCTTATGGAGCCTTTCACGATTTTGTACTGTTGGACTCAATTCAAACTGTGTATCATGAACCTTCACCACTTCCTCCAAGCTAGCTATCCATTGAAATATATCCCCAAACGTAGCCCTGCTCCATGTAGATAAAGCTTTATTCAGTTTTTACATCTTATGATTAAATAAGATGAATGGACTTGCATGAAAATCTGCCTGCCAGTTTTCTTTAACAACATCCAAGAATGACTCATGTTTGATCCAGAAATTTAGGAATCTAAATGTTTTCTTGATACATGTAGAGCTGGGATTATATGTGAGATGCATAGGACTGTGATCCGAGCCAATCTTTGATAGATGATTGATCTCCAGACCTGGCCACAACTGTTGAAGCTCCATGTTCCCTAAACATCTGTCCAGTCTTTTGAAAATACAATCTTCCTCAGCTCTCCCGTTCCACCATGTGAAAATACTTCCCTTGAAATCAAGATCAAAAAGGTTGCAAGTATTAGTGCAATGCCTGAAATCATCAATCTCATTTATATGGACAGGAAGACCACCAAATTTCTCTTCGTCATCCCAAATCACATTAAAATCTCCACCCACGAGCCATGGCAAGGTCATATCACTGGCCAATGAATACAACGTGTCCCACAGTTCAATTCTTTCAATTGCATCACATTTAGCATACACCATGGTGATTATAAACTTCTTATGATCATCAGTATCAGTCATCCTTAATGTGATCTGCTGCTCCATATTGAAAAGAATATCAAAATCATAATTTTGATCTATGAATACCCAAACTTTGTTTGATACATTAACCACAACCTGTTCAACCCCAAGCCTTCTCCTATGCTGATCCACAATCCTCATCTGTTGCTTAGGCATAAAATCAAATTGATTTTGTCTATCCGTTGTGATAACCCTTTCGAAAGCTTGCATTGTGTTAACTGACCTTATATTCCAAATCAAAGCATTCATCATTAATTGAATGATTTAGAAAAGGTTCTCCTTGTTTGAACTCCTGGAACTTGCACCCCAGTAGTATTTGAAATTTAGAGTTGTGTTAGGACATAAATTTCAGTTTGGGTTGTTTTTGAAGTTCTGTGAGTGATTTGAGTGAAAATTTTAAAAAACAGTTTTTTGCAGTTTTTTAAATTTTCTACAATTTTCAAAATGCGTCTTCAAGTGAAAATTGGAAGTTTTATGAACAAGCGTTGATTTCGAAAAAAAGTGAAATTTCTTTGGAAAAATCTTCCATCAAATTTTATGTCCAAACGGGCACTAACTGTCTTCTAATTTAATTTGGTTGAAAAAAGTGAGTATACATTAAAAAATTAAGAAGATATTAAGTTTTCAAATATATTCTTCAGTAATAATTAATATCCAAAAATATGTTTGAGGAGAACAAAAAGATTATTTAGTCATATAACCCTTATGATAAATACCACTAGTAAATGATTTCTTATGAGTGCATCTGCCAATAGACATTTTAAAAGGATCAGAGAGCGCAATATATATACTATCTCCGATCTGAAATATTAGTTATTTTGACAAATTAAAATATAAGTTATTTCAAATGTTTGATATTTTCGAAAAAAGTTCTTCATAACTCTTTTGCCAGATCTACCCTTACACCCTCACTGCAAGGAGAGATAAAGAGTTATTTAGAGCAATTTTACATCAAGGCTATTAAATAATTTTGTAAGCATTGACTCCATTTTTTAAAAGGGTGATGCTAAACGACCCAACTTTGGCCACGCGCGTGAAAAGACATCAAAGACCCCCTAACTATTTAGCCTACAATTTTCTCTCCAAAATACAAAATTAAATATGGAGAGGCTCTTCTTATTCCCAAGCATTGAGGTATGCGAAAATTAAATGTTGGTAGCTGAATTTTTTATTGTATTTTATGTGTATAAAAATTGTTGTATTTTCTTAAAAACAAATATGGTATATGATATAGTATACTTCCTCCTTATCCAACCAAGTCAAGTGGACACTTTCTCTTTATCTAAAAATGTATTCAAATCAAGAAAATTTGGTGGTACTAGAAAATATGAATCCAAATAAACATAACACAAATACAACAATCACAAATATCCTGTATGTCTTGAAAGTTCTAAAATTATAACATTTTTAAAACAAAGCATAGACTTCTCAACCTACAAAAATATTTTGAAACGTGTGTTGATACCCAATTTTTCCCTATGTATTTTTATACTCAAAATACTTTCAAAATAGCATGTGTATGCATACAAAAGCATGCCCAAGAATTTTGGTATTTTTTCCTAATTTTTAAAGATTTTAAAATCAATTTATTGCCCATTTTGGCTATACAAAATCAGTAATTAACCTATTATATTCCCATATTTACACCAAAATATAATTAAGGTAATTTTTACATATTTTTACGAATTTATTTGGTATTTTAAAGCTAAAATTGCATGTAATTGCAACTTTAGCCTATTTTACGATTAACATCATTTTTTGCAATTATGAAATTATTCCCAGTATTTTTGGATTAATATTTATATATTATTAAGTAGTTTAGTTCTTTTAATTTGATCTTAAAATCATTATTGCTATTTATAAAAAATAAAAAGGGTAAAACTGGCTATTTAAAAGCTAGCCTCATTTCATTTCAATTTCAACCATTTGGTATTCCAATTACAGCCTAAATTAACCCCTTAATTGACCCAATTTCCAGCCCAATTCCGGACCAGCCCAATCCCACTTAACCCCAACCATTAACCCGTCTATATTACCCGACCCAAACCCCTTTTAATCTAGGCTGTTGATCAACCTGATCAACGGCCACGATCACTCCTTACCTTTTTTAATCCCCCAACCCTAACATAACTCCCTCATTTCGACCGGGCAGCCGCCTCTAAATACCCTCCCCCCTCTCAAACGCTCTCGAATGTTCCTGAAACCCTAATCGCCTCCACCCTCTTCAACCTCTGACTCACCGGAATCCATGGCCTCTCAGGCCATGGACGACCTATACTCACCTCCTATTACCCTCATGTGCCTGATACTTGAAGGTTCGAGGCCAGACCTCGAAGGCCTTCACCCAGACCTTCGCCGATTCAAGGTTTCCGGCTATCTCTGGCCCTACTCTGGCATATCCTAACCTCCTGAGTCTGATTCCGACCTTATCCGACTTAGATCGGACCTTTTCCAAGCCTTTCTCATCCTAGGGTTCCTCTGAAACCCTAACCCTATGAGGTTTTCTCCTATTCTTTTTAGATCCGTTGTGTATCTACGCTATACTTGAACTTTTAAACGATTCCCCTAAACTTTCCTTTGAAACTACATTCAAAACCCTTCTTTTCCGATTTAGGGTTTTCTGGAAAATGTTAAAGAGTTTTTATGATTTTTCTTCTTTATGTTTGCCTCTGTTGTGTCCTTGTATCATCTTTCGCATGCTTCCCTTACTGTGTTTTCTATACTATTGTCTTGTAGATTTTTCGACTGTATTTTACCGTGTTCTTATATGTTTGTCATACTGTGTTTTCCTATATGCTTTTCTGCTATATCTTCCCGGCGATTCTTGTGTTTTTCTACTTGCTAAGTTCTTATGGTTCTTTGTCTGCCTTCTACCGAGCCTTGTTTAGGGTTCTTCTAAGTATGTTTCTCCTGTTGTTCTTATCAGTATTGGCCATTGTGTGCTTTGAATCCTTCTACTGTGATTGCATGTTACTTTGCTATACATGTTTTTATCCAATTGCTTGCTCTCTTTTTGTAATTTGCCTGAACTAGGATTCTTATTTCAAAACCCCCAACTCTTTTAGGATAATCTCGGAGTTCCATATGATTCTGACTTTTGATAAACTCTTCTAAACTCTGCTACTAGATTTTTATGCTGATTTACATGACAGTCTCCTTTCATACTCACATGCTCCTTATATATGAAGAATTTCCCTCTAATTGGTCTTTAAATTTGCAATTAGCGCAAACCTCCTTCTGAATATAGCTTGATTGATTTTCCTTCCATCTATTACTGATTCATAGATGATTTGGCTTAGGTAAAACCCTTCGTTATTTTTGCGACTTGGTTCACTCATACCAAATTTCAGACCTTTGTGATTTACTGGCTGTCAAATGATTCTCTTGCCTTATTTGCATAAATCATGTACTGTCAAGACCCTGTCCTTAAATAACTTTCATGTACTTGGCACTGATTTGCTACATTGCACACAGGTTTGTTTAGTTTCTTTCCTTAATTAGTTTGTACCGTTTGAATCTAAATCCCTTAATTAAGGTGAGTCTTATGTAATTGATTGACAATCAGGCTTGTATTATTTTTCTTACCTTATTTTCTCGTGACTTTCACACTATAAATACACGACCCTCTTTCACAAGACACACACAAGAACACAATTAAAAACATACTTCATACTAAACAACTTCACAATTCTCTTCTGAAGGCATACTTAGAGTATTCTTGCTTCTTGTTTGCACTTTGGCTTTTTACAAGACTACTGCTCTCTCTTTACTTGTCTCTGTGAAACTGGTATGTCCTAAATTAATTTTTCAGCATCATCCCAATGTGTCTTATTTACAGTCCTTGTATCCATGTCCATTTTCTTTTTCTCTATAATGTTTAGCACTTAACTTAATATGCCTATATGCTACTGCCTGATTCTCTTTCTTGTGAACACTTGTTCCCTATCCCATTACCCCCCTGTGTGTTTGTGAGTGGGGACTTAGAACATGGCAACAAGAATTGTTGTCCATGAACTGAGTTTTGACCCCCCCTAGCCTCTAGTTAGGCCGAATAGTGTGCCAGTATGTCTCATTGCTGGGTATGCCCTTTGCCTGCTCTTTCTTTGTACCCTGTTTCTATTATGAACCCCCATACCCTATTCCCTATGTATGCTGAGTTAAAGTTCATGACCTGGCAGCACCCAAATTGCTGTCCAGGGCTGAACCCGACCTTCAATAGGTCCTAACTCCCCAATTTAAAGCTGACAGGCTGGTCAGGGGTGTGCCAGCATCCCAATTATTGGGCATGACCACCAGCCTGCCATGGCCTTCCCTGATCTCCCCCTATTGCACTTACACTTACTCCTTGACTCTAAGTTCTGCCCCCATCCTATAAGCCTTGCTTTGGGACCTTGAGCTCCCTCTGAACTTGGACATTTGAGGGCTGGCCCTTCCACACTGCACTATGATTCTGTAATGGTATTTGGGGTGTATGCATTGCCTAGAGTTCGTGAAGCTCCTTGGAACATTGACACATCCCGGATAAGAGAAAAGCTTTGAAAATCTGCTCATTGGAAATTGGTCTATTTCATGTATCAGACTAGGAGTCTGAATTAGGCTCTCCTTGGTTGGAATTTTAATTTTTGATGTAATTTACTTTTTCTGGATTCATTCAAGTTGTAATAACATTGTAATAACTATGGGGCGTATAGTAAAACGGGGAGGGTCTCTCATTTTATGCATGTGGGGTAGATATCATGCTTTAGGTTTTATTCCTGCAATCATATCATCTTCGTTTGTGTATCTGCATATTGATATCCTGCTTATAGGTCATTTCATTATACATTTAGAAATCATGTCTATAAGTTACTCACATGTACATTTAGAAATCATGTCTATAAGTTTATTCACATCTGCATTTAGAGATCATGTCCATAAGTCTATTCACGCCTGCATATAGAGACCATGACAATAGGGTTTTCTGCATTTCTGCACATCATTTATCACTAGGAAAATGTTTTGGAGGCCCAAATAACAAAATGCACTCTAGATACCATGTCTATAGGAATCCTGCACTCTTACAAATGTTTTAAAATCAATCACGCTTGGAGAGCATGCCTATAGAAATAACCAACTGAATCTGAATCGTCCATCTCGCTTGTAAGTCTAGAATCAGTGGTACAGTTGTTTTAAAATCTGCAGAACTTCTGTTTGTTTCTAAAATCAATAAT